TCAGTCCCTCTGTCTGTCCGTTCGAGGTTAACCCAGCACGGCAAGTTGGATTTTCTTAAGTTCAAGCTGTACCAATGGCTACATAGATTAAACACTTACTATTCAATACAAAGTACATGATCTGGGCAAGTTACATATCTATGGCTTCCATACTTACCAAGTTATTGCCCACTTGAGCACTTAGAAAATGAGTAATGGTTAACCTAAACCGGCAAGTTGGAAATGCCTTAATTTCTTTCTTAACTAATGGTTTCATAATTTCCACACTTCTCATTACAAACTACATGATATTGCCAAGTTATATAACAGTGTCATCCATTTGTCCCAGTTATTTCCTTTTTTCACTTTGAAAATAGGGCTTTGTTTGGTTAACCTTTTCATGAAAGCTCTATTTATCTTAGATTTCTTCTAATTGCTTAATTTAATGAAATCCTACATATTTGGTAGGTGGTTACCTTGAATGGTTATCTTATTTTCTGTGGAATCAGTGTTCTCTAAGGTCAAGATCAATGTCACTTGTGTAAAGAATAAATTAAACATTTTAGAAGTATTTTTATGATTTCGAGCCAATGGATGTCCTCTTTCTTTGGAGGTCTTGGTAAGGGGTCATTTGGGTCAAGGTCAAGGACACTTCTGTCAAAAATAGATTTTAACATTTTTACAGGTGTTTAAACCTTAATTTGTTGACAGATGTCATTTATATTTGATAAGAACATAACATTGTGGTCTTCTCCTTTAAATAGGTGTCTATTGGGTCAAGGTCAACAGTGTTAAAAATAGATTTTCGCATATTTTTTCACACAGCCTTTATTAAATGACAGATGTATTTCATATTCAGTAGGAAGATAACTTGCATGGTATTCTTCATTTTGATTGAGGTAGGGATAAGTGGATCAAGATCGCTGATGCTATAAATAGATTTTTACAGTTTTGTCCATACAGCCTACATTTATTGACAGATGTATCTCATAATTGATAGGAAGATAACTTGCTTGGTATTCTTTCTTAAGATGTAGTTAGGGATCAGTTGGATCATGGTCAACAGTGCTAAAATAGATTTTCACACTTTTGTCTATACACCTTTATACATGATTAACAGATGAAGATGCTTTATTGAGTAAGGGGTCAGTTGAGTCAAGGTAACCAGAAAAGGTAACCTAAAAAAAATGTTTACACTTGTTTCCATACAGCATATATTTATTGACAGATTTATTATATATTTGGTTAGAAGATAACTTGTATGGTATTCTTCATTTGGATGGAGTTAGGGGTTATTGGGGTCATTGGGTCACCAGTGCTAAAATAGATTTTTACACTTATGCCCATACAGGCTTTATTTATTGGGAGATTATTTTTATATTTGGTAATATAATAACTTGCATGTTATTCTTCTTTCGAGTGATGTAGTTGTCAGTGGGGTCAAGCTCAAGTGTGCCAATAATAGATTTCTACATATTGCTTATACAGCCTTTATTTTTTGACTGATGTTTTTTTTATTATTATTTGGTAAGATTATAACATGCGTTGCCTTCTTCCTTTTGATTGGTTTATGGTTCAGTGTGGTCAAGGTCACAAGTGCTAAAATAGATTTTTACACTTTTGCCCATAAAGCCTTTATTTATTTTTTAGTGGAAAGGTTACTTGCATATAATTCTTCCTTGTGATTGAGTCGGAGCTCAGTTGGTCAAAACTAAGGATGCCAATAATAGATTTCTACAAATTTCCTTAAACAGCCTTTAATTTTTGACTGATGTTTCACATATTTGAAAGGATGATAACTGAGTTAGGGGTCAGTTGCGTCAATTTCACCAGTGCTAAAAATAAATCTGTTTACACTTTTTTAACATTTTTTTTATTTTGTTACTAATGTCTCTTATTTAAAAGGCACCTACATAAGGTTATCCTTTAAGTTTAGATGGAGTTTGGGGTCACTTGGTTCAATGTAAAGGCTTGCATTTATATATACATATACTATATTTTTCAACTTCATCACATGTCATAGCAATGACTTGCCAACTTTTATTTTTCATAATTACAAAACGTCAGTTATATAACTGTGTTTACAATTTTTTTTTGGATTTTTTCTGTCTATAACTGAGTGAATGAGTAAACATTTTTTTTTTAAAATATTGTTACTGAATTTATTGAAATTAAAGTCTATAAAATTACACTGAAATGTTTCATAAAATATACAGAAATCTTTTGGTTTTTCCTGCACAACATGTTCAGTATACAAAATGTATTTTCATTATATATAACATCTGGTGTTCACTCTGTGAAATATTTTTTGATATTACATGCAAAACATAATTTAATATCCTCTATGTAATGAAAATGCTGCAATGATTGATACACATAATGCTTTGAAGTGGAGATAGAAAGCATACCTTAGATATCACCAACAGTAACACCATAGATAAGAGCGTTGTTTTACCAGATAAGTTGCTTAAAATAATAATAAGTTGATCGACACAAATATATTAATATGCTAAACGAACATATAACAAACAAAATTCACAATTAGTAGAATAAATTTCAAAGAATTAAATAACGCTAAACTGGGTTCTAATGATTTTTTTATGGAACCTATTACAACATTTAAAGTTAAAATACATATTGATAAATTAGATGTGCATAAATCAGCTGGTGGACGGCATTTGTCCAAATATTTTACGTTACTGTTGTTATCACATAACTACATCTATTGCGTTTATAAAGGATAACAAATCTATTGATATTGGCTTATTCCCTGACTCTCTCAAACAAACTATGTTCTACCGATATCCAAAGGTGACGATAACAAAATCTAAGCAACCACTGGCCTATATATGTCTACAATTTCCAAAATATTGGAAAAACACATAGCAAATCAAGTACAATTCTTCTTTAAAAAAAACATCATTTTTAAATTTCAATCAGGGTTTAGACAGTACCATTCACAGCATTAATACAGCTATTAGAAGCATGACTTACAGATTCCGGAAAATATGTTGCAGCTGTATTTTATTCTTTAAAAAGCTTTTGATCTTGTCGACCATGAAATTTTATTGCATAAGTGAAAACTAATGTGATCCCAACACCGTCCGTTGTCGTGGGTCTCCTCTCTCTGAAACTAATGGTGGTTCCCTATTCAAAAGTTGTTTAAATTTTGCTATCTAGTGTCAAAATAGGCCTAATCCTCGGGTCATAGTTGTTTGCTTTCAAGGGGGCCCAGTTACCTACTTACTTGTCCTTTTAGGTACAGTCATGAAATTTGAAAAAAATGCACAGTTAGATATGTAAAATGAATGTTAATATCAGCTGACCTACATTTTGATGATGTGACCTTCTTTCTTGTCCTTTGATGTACAGCTATGATATTTGGACCATGCTTTGGTTTTTTATATACAGATATAAGAGTTTGACCGTTTGCACAATTTCAAGTGAAGAACTGAATTTGATATCAAATTACCTAATTATTGACCTAGCAACCTTATTTCTTGTGTTTTTTTTGTGTACAGCTATGAAATTAGGACAAGTATGGTCTAGTGACCAGCATTGTTCAAATTCTTATAATGAAAACTAACTTTCACTGATTTCACACAAATAATAGTCTGTGCTCAGGTGAGCGCTTTTGGCCCAATGCCACCTTGTTCAGGTAAAAGTGTTCATAAAATCTTTTCCAATCCATCTATCAAATAAAACGCAATTTGTAACAGTTCGTTAAAGACATATCATGTCCAATAGCAGCTTGTAACTTCTTCAGTTCCTCAGGGATCTAATCTTTTTCCTCTATCATTTTCATTATATAACAATGACATCGCTTTAGTTACTACTTATGGTAATATAGATCTTTATGCCAACGATTCTACTATATATGATCGTGGGTCGATATACGAGAAAGTAAACTTCAACAAAATTTGGATGCCATAGATCGATGGTGCAATTTAAGCAATATGCAATCCTTCCAAATAAACAAAGTACATGGTATATTATATACGAAACAAAACATAATTATTGTAATGAACTATATTTAAGTATAACAAAGCAAAAGAAAACAACAGAAAATGTAAAGATACAAAATTTATTAGGTGTTTTATGGTTAACTCTTTGTCCTGGAATTACCAAACTGAAGTGCTTTTGTTCAAACTAAAAAAATAGCATTATTGAAACGTATATCTTTTTTACCTGTCAGATAAAATTAAACAGTTATTTTATTATGCGATTATAATGTCGAATTGTTGATTTTTTGTTGTACAGTTTCGAGCAAAGGAAATTTAAGATCTTTAAACGAAATAGGTAAATACAAATAAGAGCTGCAAGGATTATTTCAAACAAAACATCTCGAATAAGAAATCACGATGTACTAAAAGAACTTGGGTGGATGTTGTTCAATGAACGATGCATTTTTCATAATGGAATTCCTGTTTATAAAGCTTGTAATAATCAAGTCACTTCTTATATAAATATTATCTGAAAGTTTGACCTTTCCTAGCAATGAAATTCACAATTTAAAGTCTGCATCACAAAATGACACAGTTATGCCAAAACACCGTACAAACTATATGGTAAAAAGACTTTTTGTTACAATGGTGCAAAGATTTGAAACAGACTACCTGACATCTTTTAAAAATTAATATAAACAAACATATCTTGCAGACAAAATAAATAGCTAATTGTGGCATTATGTTATATTACTTATAATGCATGTGTTTTGGTTAAGTGAATTTATTGTGTGTAAATGACATTTGTGTGAATGATATTAAATATCTAAATGGAACGTTGCCAAAATAATCAAATAATGTTTGCTGTAAGACCGAATCTAAATTGACAATGGAATAGTTGATATAGTTTTATGTTGTTGTGTGTGTGTGTACGTGTGTTCGTGCGTGCGCGCGTGTGTGTATGTGTGCGTGTGTTTCGATTATTTGTATAGAAGGCTGGTATATCTCCATATGTTACCTTCATTTGATATTTTCATTATTATTGATCATAACGAAACACTATCGTATACATTTCAGGTCGTGTTCAAGGCTTGTGAAACTTAGGAAACGTATTCCGAACAAAGAACTTAAATTTATATCAATTCCCTTCAGGCACTCGATCAAACTAAAAGGTAATGTTATATCAATATGCACACTACCTAATGGCGAGTTTCTAACACAGCTTGAAACAAAGTCAGGATCTGAATTTTTGAAGCTCAACAAAAACTTCAATCCTATATCAAATTCCGCTTCCACTTTGGTGGATATTTCTAGCATTTGTTACATAGGTAACAACAAAGCTGTATTTATCCAAGAAATCAACTCAAGTGTATTACAGTTTATGAACGTCATATCTTTACAAATTCTGCAACAGGAAGTAAATTGTAAGCATAACGTTCATTGCTTGGCTTGTCATGGTGATATGATTTATGCATTTGATGGCAGATTTGTGCTTCATTGTACAACAGATGGAGGCAAAGCAGGTACTCTCTGTACATTACAAGATTATAAAGACAGAGGAAATTGTGATTTGAGTAGCCTGGCAGTAAGTGCCGATGGAGAATTTATATTCTGTATAAATAGACATTTTTACATGTACAAACTTGATAGTTGTAATGGGAAGGTTTTATTGGAAATCAATCTTCGTAGGCTACCAGTTCCTCAGGAACCGACAGGAAGATTGCGTATTCTTGCTTCTTTAACAAGCGCAGTTGAAAGGGATATTATCGGTGAGACAAGTCTTGTTCCACCAGTAAATGTGTGTTACCTCGAAAATGATACCGCCATTTTATATGACAAGGAAGGTCATGTTTTATTTGTTAATAGTAAAGGTGAATATTTAGTTACTAAAAAAGATGACATGAAGAGAAGTTCTACTGTCTCCTACATTTCAACACTATATGACAGAACTGCTTCAAGTCTTCTTGTAGTGGATAACGATACCTTAAAGTTATTTACAGTGAAATGGGATAATGATTCGTGACTTCTTTTAAGTCATCCCATTTACAACATTCTTTTGTGTACGGCTTTACATGATCTGTCTTTCATGCTTGTTTTAGCTCACCTGAGCACAATGGTGGGTCCCATTTTAAAGTTATATGGCTTCTGTCTGATTGACATTGAATTTTAAAATCAGCTGACCTAGACTTGAAAAGTGACCTTCTTTTGTGTCTTTTGATGTATAGCTATGAAAATTGGACCATGTCCCTTGTTTTAGATGTAAAAATTAAACTTTTATACTAGACCTAGATTTTGATGATACATGTATAACCTTCTTTCTTGCTTTTTGGTAAAGTGACCTACTTTCCTGTCCATGAAATGAGGGTACTTTGACCTATTGGTACTTAACTTGGCATGTGAGTAGCTTACATGAAAATACAGCCTGGCATTCCTACTCATGTATCTGGAATATTTTTATTTTGAACTACTCAAACCAACTTTCTGTGTTGGTACAAATAACAGCATCATCTTTTAACAATGCCATTTTTCATATCTATTTCCTGTCACAACACTTGTTGGTGCAAACATGGTTTTCTTCGCATTGCATTGCTTCTTCTTGTTGTTGTTATTGTTGTTTTTACATCTGTTTATAAATATGTTTAGTTTGCTATGAGTTTTTAATTTATTGTACATGTAATGTTTACTTTGTTAAAATTAATTATATTGGTTATCATTTGATAATAATGCTATTTTTTCCATGCTTTAAATCAATTGGAATATCTTCTAATTTTTGAGAAAGTAACATCTGTAAAAGCTCTCTAAGGTCAATTAATTCATTATTTTTTTATTTTAGGCACTTTGACATATAATTGAACCTTCGAGATTCTCTTAATTCACTTATACAATTTTGATAATTTTTTAGTATTTTGGTTATTTTTTTTTACAAAATTAAGATAAATTCATTTCTTTTATAATGCCCTCCTCCCAACACATTGTAGCACATTGTGGCAATTTTGTTATGTGCAAGATCAGGCCTTGAGCTCAAAGGTCAAGTTCAAACTTTGACTTTAAATGACATTTTTAATAAATATGCATATATGCGATATATATTGTTCGTGTCCGGTCAACAATTCTGCCATTGATAGATAGATTTAAGAAAAGTATTTATAAATGTATTTCACCTAATTGCAATGTGTTGCGTGCTAGAATTGGATCCCGACCTCAAAGGTCAAGGTCACAGTCATGATATGAATCGTTATATAAAAATGCATTGATGGTTGTGTCCGGCACTAATTCTGTATTTTCTGGGTGGATTTTATAATAATTTAGCATGAACATGATGATGGTGTTGCGCATATGGGTCAGGTCTGCAGTTTAAAGGAAGATCTATGTCAAACATGATGATTTTGAATAGATTGTCTTCGTTTTTGCATAACCTTAATATTAATATATGGATTTTAAAATAAAAATGCATAAATATGCTGCTTATTACGATGATGTGTAATTAATAATTTAGCACAGCAGCCCAAAGATGAAGTATATACTTTAATCGCAATAGTTATGATATGATAGTGCATTGATAGCTAGCTATGTCTAGTCTATGTTTTTTAGCCATTCAGTGAGATATTATTTTTTTTTACTTTTGCTTAAATATACGGTTCCTTAAAACAATTGATGATGAGTGTGTAGCTTAAAGATCAAAGTCACGATTTGACATTTAAGGTTTATAGTTTCATGAAGAACATTGATGGTTACACAAAGTCATCAATTTTGTCATCTATGAATGGATTTTGAATTAACTAGCCATATTTTTTGGCTTATTAGGAAAGCTTTTTACACGCCAACGCCAGGTGAAGGGGTTAAAATGTCATTGTTATAATTTGATGCCAAAATAGTTAATTGAAGTTTGTGTCTGGTAGTATCTTTGTCATTTATTCATGGATGCTTTTGAAATAATTGGTCTCACCGGGAATATAAGAAAGTATTTGTTTATCTTTCTATATTCTTGTTACACTTTTTTTTATAGTAACCATGCCCTTTATACAAGTCAAAGGTCATGGTTCCTCTACTGGACCCTGCTTTGAGGCATTTGCTTGTTTTCAACGAAATCTTTTGTTTGTTCTTACTGGCAGCCATCTTGTAAAATTAAGATATTTATGCTTGTAAGTGTAACTTTAAAACAAGGCTTGTTGCTATTTAGATTTTTTCGTTTAATAGCACAGAATCATCAAGGTATTTTTATCATACTTTTAGCTTATTACATATTATTACAATGTTTTCAACTGATTCATTTTTTTATTTAACCTGATTTTTCTGATATTCATATTTTTGGTAAAATTAGAACATTTTCTATTAAAGTATGCTTTGTGAACTTGATTAGCTATAAGTTACTTTGCTTAGTGTACATACAAGTTCGTTTAATAAAAATTTGGTTGATTTCCAACTAATTCAACACTTGAGTTTTTTCCCTGCTCTGTCATCCTGTCGATTAGATTTTCCCTGATTTATAAAAATCATTTTACCACTACTCCTGAACAAACTATTGAAGAACATAACATAGTGGCAAATAGGTAGCTCTAATCCTATTTTTACATGGAATATTTTAAACACCACAGCAACAGAATTTATATACCCGACTGCTTTTAATGTATTAAGTAATTTCAATTTATCCTCAAGTAAAGTACTTATGCTCTACTTCCAATTCGTTACAGGTTATATGGCTGTGTTTAAACATACATACATACATACATACATACATACATACATACATACAAGACTATAAGTTCAAAAATGAACATAAGATTGTGATTAAACTATTTACTTTAAATAGAAATCATGAATGATCATTTGCTTTAATAATCTAAAAGATGAAAAATTACACCATGCTATTACAGGTTTGTATGGCTGAAATAATTTGTTTAAGGGCATGTTTTTGGTATATTCAGATAAAACTGGTTTAAATACTATGGTGGTTGATTTCTGCCATTTCGTGTCTCAAAAGAATGCGTAGACACGAAGAGATGATAATATGCTCAGTAATCAGGTCTTCGTCTTTGATTTTTTTGGGCGTCGATACGAAAACACGATATATTTTAGGCGAAATGACAATATTTTATTGTGCGAAGACAACAGACCTCTTTCTTATCTTTGTATCTGCCCCCTATATGTGTCGGGTCGTCATGTCTTCGCCTCAAAAAGCGAAAGTCGAGGACGATAGCTTGCCAATTTATCGAGTCTTTGTGTCGTCGTGTTTTACCCCCGATAATTTGCCAGTTATCCAGTCTTCGCCTGTTGTATTATAGACGACAAATATAGGGAGCCGATACAAATATTTCTACCCGCCGACACCATAAACGACCGTTCATACAAATAAATGCAAATCAATATTTCTCATTGTACTAAATTGTTTATTTGGATATGAATCTCATTGGATCAAGTGAATGGCCGGTGAAATTACATACGTCTAGTTTTGTTAACAATTTTTAAGTACAAACAAAAAAACAACAGACTTAGACAAAGGGCAGTGACGATTTTCGTTAATAACAATTAGAGTTTAGAATGTTTCATTTGTTTTAGTCAGTCTTTTCAGCTGCCCGTTCAAATGATGGGTCCCGATATGGAGGTTAAATATATAAACCAAAACATTTGCTTTTTTCTGACATTGGTTTGTTGATATGTTTTTCTGACTGAGCAGATGAACGAAATATGTCTTCTGTAATAAATTGTATAACAATTTATAATTATTACGCTCAAAACTTGTGATATTTATTTTTTCTCCACAACATTTTCATCATCTATAACATAACACCAGCAAAATACAAAACATTTCACAATATTAAAGCAGCATGCCTCAATATTCATGCTAATTTTCATAAATTATTTTAACTTAAAAAGAAATTATTATGAGGGAAATGAAGAATGTTATTTACACAGTGCAGACTGCTCTTTAAGTTTATCCATTTAAATTACCAAACAGAGGTCATATGCGAAAGTAGTTTTTACTGCGTCAGTCATGTAGCAGAAATATGGTGAATATGGAGAGAAATACTGCCAAACAGACATTAATATTAATCTTAGATAATTATTTGAATCTTGAATCTTTTTATATTACTTTAAATCTAAATAGATCTACAGTTTGATTTTTTTAAAATCATTTTGGATCATGCAGCTTTAAAAACAATACAATTTAATTATATGACAGTGTACAATAGGGCTAATATTTTCAATATTGCTCCGTAATGTCGAGCTTTTTTTTCTGTAAAGAAAACCCGATATGTAGCCTCAGGCCATAGTGTTTCAACATAACATTCGAGTTCGATATACTCGGACTGTTTTCAGATGGATTCTAAAGCTTATTTTAATGAAAAAGATTATTTGTTATATTCTCGGGGACTTGAAATTGATAAGATCTACGAGTCTTGTTACACAGAAAAAAGTGAATACCGGATGTGCCTCTTAGCACCAAATAAAATTTAGGAAAATTGTTTATGAAGCTGAAAAACACATGTACACGTCCATGTTCCATACAAAAACTGAAGTTATATCCACAGTAAACCAATAAGAAATTTATGTTATGTAACAAATTATATATTATAATTATAGACAAGAGAATCATACACACAATAAACTACTTGTAACTTAAATCAGGTACATGGACTCTCATGTGATGAAGATGTTCAGCTAGCTTACAGAATGTATGTGGTTCTACTCGGGAACACATTTGTTTCTTAAATGAAGGGCGTCTGAGGTCTTCCTTCACCGGAAAAGCTGGAATGACGCCATATAATTTACGTCAGTGTGACGAAAATTCCAACAGCAACAAAAATTGAATAAAGTCTAAACCTATATTATATTATACTTCATTAATTTTAAAGTCATTAATAATTTCTATAAGACTTACTTCAAATTTAAGGTTTTTTTTTCATTTTTAAAGATTAAAGACGTACATGTATTTTAATTTCTGCTGTTAGATTTTTTGTTAAGTTTCTATGATTTACAATTATTATTCGGACTATTTTTGACAGTGTTTTGTTTAAAAAAATTAAAGCTGTATTATAATATAAATGATGGAAGAGTTATTGTGACCCTTTCAATTTGAGTGAAAGGTTAAAGTGGATTGGTCTCTAATTTGAGTGACAGGTTAAAGAAAAGATAAAAAGAATAGAAATGTATTATTTGGATATATTGATAAAATATTTCTGGAATGAAAAATGTTGATAAAGTTCTAAGTGATTTAGTTTTAGCATTTATATGATGAATAATAATATTTTATTCTAGAACAATGAATTATTTACTATATAAAAATGATGTCATAACAGGTCACATATCACATTGATCAACAACATACATATATAATTATTGGATTTAACTCACTACAGTGTTGAAGCCAGTACCTTTTGACGCTTGATAGAAATCTTGATCACAAGTACTTAAATATCGAAATGTGATGAGATGAATTTACAGATTTAAAATACATTCTAGCAGATGAAAAGGCGAGATCTTAGCATTCAAGCACCTTGTCCGGTTGTTACCGGAATACGGTATTAAGTGTGGTACTCAGTATATCTATGGTAATATAGACCCTCTATTACAGACCACTTCACTTTAAATTGCTTTTATAAACCAGTTGATTCAACCAGGAAATATTTAAGAATATGTTATTTATTTGGATTTTAGTGTAATGTAGAATTAGGGACATATCAGGTATCTGATAGCTAAAATGTATGCAAAATTTTAGTTACTTTATTACGTTCATTGTGAACATTTTAACTGTATAACATAGAACTTTTTGAAATAATATTCTCCTTTCTTTGTGTGTTTAAATGAAGATGTTTTATCACATTTACTTTTTTCTCATAATCACGTTAAGTTACCTGTATTCAAAACTTCATTGCAATATTAAACAAGACTAAATTTGATAACCTTGATGTCTGAAATAAAAAAAACCTAGCTTAAAAATAATTTATTTAATTTAATATTTACACTGCCTTATACATGTACATGTATGCAATTTTTCTTCACATATTTCATGGCTTTTATTGGGTTTTGTTTTACTTCACAGTTTATAATGCTCCCTGAAAAAATTGAGGGGAGCATATAGTCGCCTCAGTTAGTCCGCCCATACGTATGTCCCGAATTCATGTCTGGCCCATAATTTCGTTATTTGAAATCGGATTTTTAAACTATTTCACAAAAATGATCACCATATTGAGAAGACGTGTCGCGCGCAAATTTGGGTCACTATCTTGAAGGTCAAGGTCACAGCATGACCTTGCAGCAAAATCGTGTCTGGCCAATAACTTATTTGAAGTCAAATTTAACAACTATTTCACCATATCGAGAAGATGTGTTTCGCGCAATTTTTGGGTCGCTATCTTGAAGGTCAAAGTCACAGCATGACCTTGCAACAAAATTATGTCCAGTCCATAACTTTATTTATTTGGTGTCGGATTTTACAATATTTAACAAAAATGAGCACCGTATTGAGACGACATGTCGCGCGCAAGTCGGAAGATAGATCTCGTTGAGTAGAAGTGCAGTGCAAAGAACAGTAACTCTGCCTTGCCTAAGTTTAGAATTATCACACTTTGAACTTTGTCCAGGACATAACTCTGAAACTACAAACATAAACTTTTCTGTGTCCAAAACCTAGTCGTGGATCACCCGGTTGAACCGGCTCTTGTTTTAGCTTAAAAGGACTCCACTGAGTTTCAAAAACCTAAAACGATTTGAATTCTCACATAGATCAGCGAGGGCATTCAAAACAGAAATATATGTTGAAGATAATTTCAAAATGTACTAAGAAATAGATTGAAAATTGTATTGATGAGCCCTCCTTATACTGATCTAATTAAGGTCATTTTTCACAAATGGAACATTAATCTCAAAAAGTTATTACCTGTCTAGCCATGGCAAACAACCTCAGTTGAGTCCCTTTAAATGTGTCATACATTTCTTGTTCTTGCAATAGAAGACATTTGTGTTAACATTAGAAACTTTCCTTGGTAAATTTGTATAACACTGAATTTGTTTATTGTAAATGTAATGAATCATTTGTAACAAAAATAACCTAAACATCAAGCAGTTAACTGTATGAACTGTGTAATCCAAAATTTTAGCATGGGATTAAAAGTTATTAATTACATAAATTAATTTTTTAATGCAAAAATGACAATATTTTTATCAACTTTAAATCAGTTTTTGCCTACCTTTGTTTTAACTTTCAACTGTTGTTAAAATAATAAAAATAAGCACGTAATAATGATTAAAGTTAAAGTATATACATGTTTATTGATAAATATGAAATATTTGTCACTTTAATTTATGAAATCGTTAAGTAATTATATATCGTTTGTACTGTTTGATGTGATGTCATCTTTCTATAAGTGATGCCATCTGTACTCTAAATGAAGCCATCTTTACTGCAAGTGATGGCATTTTTACTGCAAGTGATGTCTTTTTTACTGTAATTGATGTCATTTTTCTTTAAAATGATGTCATTTTTCCTGAAAGTGATGTCATCTTTACTGTAAGTGATGGCATCTTTACTGTAAGTGATGTCATCTTTACTGTAAATTATGTTTTTTTTACTGTAAGTGATGTCTTCTTTCCAGCAATTGATGTCATATTTCTTGTAAAATGATGTCATCTTTCCCGTCAATGATGACATCGTGCCAGTTAGTTTTGTCATCTTTTTTGTCAGTTATATCATCTCTCTTGTGTGCTTCTTTTGCAGTTATTATGTTTCTGTTTATGGATTTAGATGAATAAACTGTTAAATATGTTATGAATTTTTTTAGTTTTTATTGTTCAGTCTGTACTTGCTAAACTAATACATGGTCAGGACTATATATTACCATATCCCACAGCTGTCATTATGTACCAATAAGTGATTTTTTTAGACTTATATCTGCAACATGGCTTATGATCGACGCTAGACAAAGACTTTTAGTATTTTCGGTTGAAACTCTATTATTTCCTGAAATACATTGTAGACATTGTACTTTGCAGAAATGACAGTAATGATTCTCACTTGGTCCTCTTTACAATAATATTTTATAGATGGTTTGACTCTTGTATGTCACAGGTTCATAAGATAAACTTAAAGATAAATTTCATGAAATCACTTTTCATACACATACATATATAAACCACGCCTCTGGGGGTAATATTATTATATTGACATTTATAATACTGCACGTATGTAATGTCGCAAATCATTTGTTTTTTTTACAAAACATGAAGTAATTTGGAACAAACTGGAAAAAAATGACTCATTTTTAGGGGCAATATTGTTTTGCCATTTCACCTGCCAGCTATATGAACAACGCCATGTTTGTTCTTGAAATCGTGAAAATTACCTTCTCAGTACTACAGACACTTGGCGTGTTGAGCTTTAAACGCCTTTAAAATCCAAATAAAATTTGTCAATCCCAGCACATGTACTGATCATATAATTTAAAAAATAAAATAAGCCGTTTAGAAAAAAAGTCATATTTCAACGTCTTAATTATAGACGTTGAAATATGATTTTTTTCAAAACGGCTTTTATTAATGTTATATATATATATATATATATATATATATATATATATATATATATATATATATATATATATATATATATATATGTATATATGTATATATATATATATATATATATATATATATATATACACGTATGATCAGCACTTGGCTGGGATTGAAAAATATACATTTTATTTGGATTTTAAAGGCGTTTGAAGCTCCACACCCAAAGTGTCGGTGCTCAGTACTGGTTTGTTAGCGGTTAAAATTAGAATCCGCATCGCTTTCAAAATTGTGATTGCTCGCCGATGATTGGCTGTTTAAAAGATCACGAGAAGGTTACAACATATTGGTGGTAGTCACCGAATATGTGTAAGTATTCTAGGCTTAGAGTACGGACCCGTACATGTCACCATTCATGTCCTTAAATGTTATTATCTACCAGAAGGTGATCTATACATTTTGAATTCAATAATTCACTGAATGATACTAAATATGTATGCAAGTTGAATAAAGTGGTGCTGCCAAAATAAATGGTCATATCTTTCTGAAGAGTTTGGCTGAATGATAAGATTATGCAACTCGGACTGGTACCTGACACATGTTTTTCGTATGCATAGCCGACATGCACGTTTTTTTTGCAGGTTTTTACATGGGAATTTGAAATGAAATTTTAGCAAAAAAGTTCCTTTTCAATTTTGTATATTACTTATAATGAGAATACCCTAAACTGGTGAAATATAAATACGTTAAATATTATGGCACATATTAAGATCCAGAAAATGGTATTGAACAGATCATTTTATTTTGTTTTGCCTTCTCATTGAGGGGAGCTTTAGTTAGAAGGTGTGGGGAGGATGGGGCTTGACTCCATTCTGCATCATTCTTCACATATAAATAGAGGTTGGCTCGTATGACTGTTATTGTTAAGTTGGTGGCCAAGTATCGCCCATATTCTTAAAAATATGTCTCATATGGGGTTGCGATGTTTTTAATGACCTAAGCTTACATGATACACTCATTCATGTTCTATAACGAATAGACTATATGTACATATATTTTATCCTCTCATATATGTTTTCATAAGAACTAGAGTATGTACATATAGATGATACCCTAGGTCATCATTTAGGATCGCACATATATGTTTTATTGGAACTACGGCACATGTACATTTAGATAATTAGATGATCTAATTGTCAGCTGACATGATCCCCTTATCCTTCCCCTTGCAATTGTTTTTTAAAAGACTACACAGTATATGTTCCTGTAGAAGACCTCTTGTTCCTCTTATAATGTGATTCCTCATATATCTTTCATATGAACAAGTATATACATAGTATATACATTTAGATGACCCTGTAGTCATCTTACGTGATATCCTCATATATGTTCATATGCTGATTAGTGATATAAATGAAAAGCCATTGTATGTCCTGAAGACTTTTAAGTATATTTTCAGTTTTAGACATACGTGTATATTTATAAGGAGGATTAAACATAAACACTATTTACCAGTGGCATTCACAGTGACATTGAGCATTTCCACAACATTATAATCTATTCTTAATCAGAATGATAACTCTTTATCAGAAATTCGTGCTTACTTCAAAAGTGGAGCAAAATATGCAGTGTACAAGTTCTCTCAAACGTTCCCTTTTTCCGTCTTCCTTCTTTCGCCTGCTTGAATCAAGTGTGCGACCATTATACGTCCTTCCCCTTGCTATTGTATTTTACAAGAACTACACTTAACACTTTCACTTTCGGTTAAACTTCAGTTAAGCTTAAACATTTACTTAAAACTGTTGTGACTCACGTTACTTAAGTTGTACATTTATTATAAAGTATGTTCACAGTGATGTATGACAATTTAGCAGTTATGTACTAGGGATTTGCATTATAGGGCAGCTATTTCAATCGCCAAGGAATTCTTGGTAAGCAAAATTATCGATAATTATGTATATGTCATTAAGTTATGCTACATATAACAGAACATTTTATTGAACAATATTTATTAACCACAATGTATATTTATACTGATTTTGTGCTACCTAAACGATATATATTGTAACAAGAGGGCCATGATGGCCCTGAGGTCGCTCACCTGTATATAGGCCCCCCACCCCCGGGCCAATTTTTACCCAAGGGCTTTTTATTTGAACAGACTTGGTAAACACCCATAAGAAGATGTTTCATGCTATACATCTAAGTTCTAGCTCATTGGGTTTTTTAAAAGAAGATTTTTAAAGTTTTTACTATACACATATAGTTAAAAACAATGACACCCCTGGGGCAGGCCCAGTTTTGACCCCCGGGCTTTTATTTGAACAAACTTTGTAGATATTTACTTAAAGATGTTTCATGCTTAATATCTAAACTCTAGCTATTCGGGTTTTTTCAAAGAAGATTTTTAAGTTTTTGCTATACACATATAAGGAAAATCAATGACCCCCCCGGCGGGGCCAGTTTTGACCCCAGGGCTTTTATTTGAACATACTTGGTAGACACCCATTAGAACATGTTTCATGCTAAATATCTTAGCTCTAGCTCTTTGAGTTCTTTAAAAGAAGATTTTTTAAGTTTTTACTATATGCATATAGGGAAAATCAATGACCCCCTGGCCCTGGGGCAGGGCCAATTTTGACCCCAGGGCTTTTATTTGAACAAACTTGGTAGACACTCATTAGAAGATGTTTCATGCTAAATATCTTAGCTCTAGCTCTTTGGAATCTTTAAAAGAAGATTTTTTAAGTTTTTACTATATGCATATAGGGAAAATCTATGACCCCCTGGGGCAGGGTCAATTTTGACCCCCAGGGCTTTTATTTGAACAAACTTGGTAGACATTCACTAGAAGATATTTCATGCCAAATATCTAAGCTCTAGCTCTTTTGGTTCTTTAAAAGAAGATTTTTTAAGTATTTACTATATGCATGTAGGGAAAATCAATGACCCCCGGGGTGGGGCCAATTTTGACCACAGGGCTTTAATTTGAACAAACTTGGTAGACACTCACAAGAAGATGTTTCATGCTTAATATCTTAGCTCTAGCTCTTCGGGTTCTTTAAAAGAAGATTTTTTAAGTTTTTACTATATGCATATAGGGAAAATCAATGAACCCCTGGGGCGGGGCCAATTTTGACCCCAGGGCTTTTATTTGAACAAACTTGGTAGACATTCACTAGAAGATGTTTCATGCTTAATATCTAAGCTCTAGCTCTTACGGTTCTTTTAAAAGTAGATTTTTTAAGTTTTTACTATATGCATATAGGGAAAATCAATGACCCCCCGGGGCGGGGCCAATTTTCACCCCAGGGCTTTATATTTGAACAAACTTGGTAGACATTCACTAGAAGATGTTTCATGCTTAATATCTTAGCTCTAGCTCTTCGGTTCTTTAAAAGAAGATTTTTAAGTTTTTACTATATGCATATAGGGAAAATCAATGAACCCCTGGGGCGGGGCCAATTTTGACCCCAGGGCTTTTATTTGAACAAACTTGGTAGACATTCACTAGAAGATATTTCATGCTTAATATCTAAGCTCTAGCTCTTACGGTTCTTTAAAAGTAGATTTTTTAAGTTTTTTACTATATGCATATAGGGAAAATCAATGACCCCCCGGGGCGGGGCCAATTTTCACCCCAGGGCTTATATTTGAACAAACTTGGTAGACATTCACTAGAAGATGTTTCATGCTTAATATCTTAGCTCTAGCTCTTCGGGTTCTTTAAAAGAAGATTTTTTAAGTTTTTACTATATGCATATAGGGAAAATCAATGAACCCCTGGGGCGGGGCCAATTTTGACCCCAGGGCTTTTATTTGAACAAACTTGGTAGACATTCACTAGAAGATGTTTCATGCTTAATATCTAAGCTCTAGCTCTTACGGTTCTTTAAAAGTAGATTTTTTAAGTTTTTACTATATGCATATAGGGAAAATCAATGACCCCCCGGGGCGGGGCCAATTTTCACCCCAGGGCTTATATTTGAACAAACTTGGTAGACAATCACTAGAAGATGTTTCATGCCAAATATCTTAGCTCTAGCTCTTTGGGTTCTTTAAAAGAAGATTTTTTAAGTTTTTACTATATGCATATAGGGAAAATCAATGACCCCCTTGGGCGGGGCCAATTTTGACCCCAGGGCTTTTATTTGAACAAACTTTGTAGATACTCACTAGAAGATGTTTCATGCCAAATATCTAAGCTCTAGCTCTTAGGGTTGTTTAAAAGAAGATATTTAAAGATTTTTCTTTCGGTTGCCATGGCAACTAGAGTTCTGCATGGAATTAAATTCTTTGAACAATTGTTAAAGGTGACCACCAAAGGAACATTCCTGTGAAGTTTGGATGAAATTGGCTCAGTGATTTATGAGGAGATGTCATTTAAAGCAAAAGTTTACGGACGGACGGACGACGGACGGACGGACAGACGGACGGACGGACGCCGGACGAAAAGCGATCACAAAAGCTCACCCTGTCACAAAGTGACAGGTGAGCTAATAAATGTATTGTTATGTTCTGATCTTATAAATCTATTTTTTCTTCAAATATGTATTAAAGCAGCATGCCTTCAACATTTTGAAAATGTATATTAAAGTAATTTAAAAGTATTGTGAAGTGAAGAAAGAAAGTAAATTATACATTAAAAAATGACATTTAAAACCCACGTAAATTACTAAAAAGATGTGAAAATATACAAAAAAGATCTTCTTGCGTAAGTCACACAAAAACAAATAATGCTGAAGGTTTATCCAAAAGTAGTGAAATGCAGAAGGGGTCGCCCAACAAAGTCATAAACTAATATCGGGTATGACCACCTTCAGCATCAGGGTCTTTCAATTTAAAAACCCTGTCAATATGAAGGACTGCCTGGGATCGTTGGCGCATAAAACGGATCAGCGTGATGTTGGGAATGTTCCATTTTTGATTAAGGCTTGTCTAAGCGTATGACGTTTGACAGTACAATAGGGCGACGTGTAGCACGCTGGCCAAAATTATCCCAAAGGTGTTCGACACACCAGTCATTATAAAATGCAATGTTATTCGCCCTAAGAAAATTCAGTGTTCCTAGTTGTATGGTTTGTGGCATTATCATGTTAAAAAAGAGTGACATTGGCACTATTTTCAAACAATGGTGTACCATGCCTCGTAAGAATTTTATCTCGTAAGCGTTAGGGATTCAAATTCCCTTCGATAACGAAAATTAGTGCTAAAGCTATGTGTAATGCCTGCCCAGACTTGGAAAGAACCCTCAGCCCAAAACGATCTCGTCCAAGTACGCAGCAGTCGTTTAAACATTTATTTCTCCTGCGGTATACTCAGCTGAATAAATGGAAAACCTCGACTCGTTAATGAAGAACGCTATTCCAGTGTTGTCTAAGGCAGCGTTGTTGTGTACGTGTCCAATTAACACGATTTACACGTTGACGTCGCCTCAAATGAAACAAAACCAACGTATGGTCATTGCATGTAGCCCACGCTCGCGCAAGAGATTACGCACAGTTTTTCTAGATATACGGTTGTTATGTGTACCAGGGGTGTTAGCAGCAGTAGCTGTGGCAGTGTAAGATGTCAGATAGGACGAGTAGAAAATCTAATATTCATAGCGACGGCATTCATCCCCATTCCAGCATAAAACATGCCAATGACACGTTCGCGTAAATATTGCGGAATTCTAGGCTTATCAACAATAAAGAAAACTGAATAAAATGCTATTAAGTACATCTTTTTGTTATTGACATGAAAGTCTATAAAATTACACTGAAATGTTCCATATATATATACATGAATCTACAGGTCTGCGCATCTTCTGCAACACGTTAAATGTGTTTTATCGGATATATAATTGTTCGTCCGAATATATGCCGTAGATCATTTGAACATTTGATTTGTTTAAATAACACTATTTATGCGCTTAAAAACAGGGGATGTCTTTTTTTCTGTATATATGTACATTGTTATATACAAATCTATAAGTCGAAACTCAAAAGTGACCCTCCAAGGCTTCCATAATATACTCTATACCCTTCCGTCTTCCGTGGTATAAAAATCTGGTTAACTGTTATCAACCTTCGTATTATAATTGTTCTTGTTAATTGTTTCATATGTAGAAACAAGTAACGATAAGCAACAATAAACACATGAAGGAAGTAAATTCACTTGCTTCACATACTGTTTTGATTTACATCCGGTTACTTTCTACAACAACTACTTGCACTTATTTATACTTTTTTGAAAAACAACATAAACGGTTTAATTTAAAAACCGAATAACAAGTCCTACGGAATCAGTGCGCAGGTGCAATAACCCCTATTATTACCCCTCACTTTTACTGTTAAGTGCCTAAGAAATTTGTACTGTAACAGTATTTTTAACAGTTTATGGTCAGAGGGTGTATTTTCTAAAGAAAATAAAATAAAATCATCATAAAAATCATCACAGTTATTGTTCGGTGTAATAAAACAAATAATACATGGAATTGTGAGTGACAGTAAAAGTATCATCCCTTGTAAAAATACTGTTACCCTTGGCCAACGCCTCAGGTGTAATTATTTTCCATCACAAATCCATGTATTATTTATATACTAACAGTTCCCTCCGAAGTCTTGGCCACGAGATACTATGTCGTGGCTATGAGTTACTAAGTCGTGGACACGAGATAACAAAGTCGTGCGTACGAGATAATTAAACAATCAGAAAACACTATATATATTATGAATTTGTAAACTTAACAACGTACTTTTACATAGAACATTAATCTTTTAAAGGGAAAGACAAGGTTAAAATAAAAACTTGATTTCAGAAAAAGAATACTATAAATAATAAGTCTGCAAATTTTCTGCCGCCAAATAATAATATTAAACGAATGATAACAAAATTTAAATCGCTAAATCACCGATTTCTACAAATCGGTAAGCGCGGCCATGTTTGT